CACAGGCTCGGCCCTCACTTCCTGGTGGCAGAGCGGGGGCGGGGCGGGGGGGCGCTTGTTCCCTGCAGTATCTGTTCTGTGAAGTTTGTTAAATGTAAGGAAAGCTTAAATTCTTGTATCTTTAAAAGAGAAATCTTATTTAACCCTTTTGTGTTCTAGATTTACTTACACAGCCTAGAGCTCGGTTTTAGTTTTAACATTGTGAAAATATTAAAAGACTCTTGTAACTTTATTCTTTTTTCTCCTGCTGAAAAAATTAAACCAGTCGTACGAAAGTTCAGGTTTCTCTGTTTCGCCCATTCTCCTCCATGCCCCTGGCACCACCAGGAAACTAGTCAAAGGTCTCCCTCCCACAGCCCTGCAGCGCCGAGTCCCTCTGAATTGTCTGTGGGTGGTTCTGCCAGGGGAGGCTGGGCCTGCACAGGAGGTGTGTCTGCTGGGCCAGCTTTGCCGTCAGCAGGAGGTTGCACATCTGGGAAGATGGAAGTGAGCACCAGCTCTAGGCCCCGGGTTTGCATGGGTCCAGGGAAGGGGGTCAGCACCCAAGGAAGGACCCAGAGGATGAAGAATGGCGCTTCCCTGGAGGGAGGACCAGGATGATGTATTTGCTGTGTGAACGCGCTAGTGTAGAGCAGCGATTTTCAACCGTTTCCTCTCGTGGCCCACATAAACTACTAACATTCTGTGGCACACCAAAAAAACATTTCTTGCCGATATGACCAAAAAAATTGGTATTTATTCACACCAGGCAGTGTTGGCTGTTGTCATTTATTTGGCAATCTAAGGGAAAAGAGTCAGTGCCCCTCAGGAGTCAGGCATTGCATGTTTTCAAATTCGGTGGCACACAGTTGAAAATCACTGGTGTAGAGGATACACTTGTGAAGATGTTCAAAAACATTTGGCGGAGGAGTGCACCCCTCCCACCACCTTTAAGGCAGAAATATTGGCCACACAGTGGTCACGACGATGATGAAGGATCCTCAGAGGAAATCGCGGTGCACGGAGTGAACAGGCGGGCGGAGAGCACCAGGCCTGGGGGCCTGGGAACACGCTGTACCCGCGGCCTTGCCTCCAGTCAGCACCCCGGCTTTGGGGCTTGGGAAGGGGAGGGGCGTTTGAGTGGGCAGCAGGGGGACAGGAAGCCCCAGCCGGCAGTTGTAGTGGGACCCGTCGTCAAGGTGGGGGTCAGCTACACGCTGGGAACTGAGAGGCCTCCCGCTCGGAGAAGGGAGGACCAGACAGGCACCAGAGCAGTGGAAACGCCCGAGGAAAGACTGCGGGGCCTCAGAGAGTTTACCTCCTTCACAACCATCCTCAGAGCTTCCCCAGGGAGGGCTCCGGAAGAGGGGAAAAACCAGAGAAAGATGGGGAAAGACGGGAGGGGGGCGCGTGCGGGAAGGCCAGGCCTGGGAGGGGCTCCGGTGAGTCAGTGTTTGCACTTGATTTACCTTCTACCATGGGGTTCGGATATGAGTCTTAGAAAATTACACAAACAGAAATAGACAATTTATTGCAAAACAAAAATAAGAGGAACCATAGACCCTGCGTGACTTAGCCGTGAGCAATATCAAATACAAATCATGTGAACACAGACACAGTGACGAGTGTTGCTCGGAGCAGTCAGTGCTGGGACTCGGAGACCGGGAAGCCTGCAGGGTGTGTGCAGGTCCGGTCCACAGGAGGGAGTCGCGTGTGTAACATTCAAGAGAGCATATGTGTGAGGTTAGAAATGGTAAGTGCAGCACAGGGCTCTCCAGGTCCATCCATGCCGTTGCAAATGGTAAGAGTTCCTTCTTTTTTACAGCAGCGTAGTCTTCCATTGTGTAGATGCACCACAGTTTTTTAATCCATTCATCTGCTGATGGGCACTTAGGCTGTTTCCAAATCTTAGCTATGGTGAATTGTGCTGCTATGAACATTGGGCTGCATATATCCTTTCTGATTGGTGTTTCTAGTTTCTTGGGATATATTCCTAGAAGTGGGATCACAGGGTCAAATGGGAGTTCCATTTTTAGTTTTTTGAGGAAACTCCATACTGTTTTCCACCGTGGCTGCACCAGTCTGCATTCCTACCAGCAGTGCAGAAGGGTTCCTTTTTCTCAACATCCTCTCCAGCACTTGTCGTTTGTTGATTTGTTGATGATAGCCATTCTGACAGGTGTGAGATGGTACCGCATTGTTGTTTTGATTTGCATCTCGGATGATTAGTGACATTGAGCATGTTTTCATATGTCTCTGGGCCTTCTGTATGTCCACTTTCGAAAAGTGTCTATTGTCCATTAGATCCTTTGTCCATTGTTTGATTGGATTGTTTATCTTCCTTTTGTTAAGTTGTATGAGTTCTCTGTAAATGTTGGAGATTAAACCCTTATCTGAAATATCATTGGCAAATATGTTCTCCCATGCAGTGGGCTTTCTTGTTGTTTAGTTGATGGTTTCTTTTTCTGTGCAGAAGCTTTTTATTTTGATGTAGTCCCATTTGTTTATTTTCTCCTTAGTCCCCATTGCCCTAGGAGCCGTGTCGGTAAAGATACTGGTACGACATATGTCTGCTATTTTGCTGCCTATGGAGTCTTGTAGGATTTTTATGGTTTCCCATCTTACATTTAAGTCCTTTAGCCATTTTGAGTTTGTTTTTGTGTATGGTATTTTTCAACCTTATATAAATGAAGTAATATTATGTGAATTCTTCATCTTTTTTTAAATTTATTTATTGTCTAAAGTTTTATATATGTCTCCTTTTCCCCCAATTGATCCCCTCCCCCCCGAAGCCATTCCCACCCCAGGCACCCCTATGGTTCATAGCAGCACAATTCACCATAGCTAAGACTTGGAAACAGCCTAAGT